TGCGAACGGACTAGAACAGAATGTAGTGCTCTCACAGCTTAAACAATGCCGCTCGCACATGCTCACTCAAAGAAAAAGAAGACAGAAAAATAGTTTCACGATCAGAGTCTTCGCGATCAGGCAGCGCGCCTGCTTTCTGCTCTCTTATTTCCCGCTCTTTTCATACACGAACGAGAATTCACTCCACCGCTGACCGACGAAATCACATCGATTCTCTGAAGAAACCGACATTTGGATGTGGAAAAACAATTTTATAGTTCAGGTACAAAAATAAGTAAAAGAAAAGGCTAAGTTAAATGACTGAAAAAAAAAATAAAAAATATATATAAATATAAATATATTTGAAATATATTTTTTATTTATTTTTTTATTTTATATATTTATTTATTATTTTTTATTATTATTTTCAGGTACGCAATTGCGTATTTGCGTACAGGTAGCTACGCCCCTGACTTGTGATGAAAATATGACTAAAGTATCGCAAATAAGTGTTTAAAAAAATTAATCTGAATTTTTGCACGTAAGCCATAAACTGGGTAACCGAATACTCTTGCAAAGAGTTGAATTCATTAGTACGTAGTGAACATAGGTCGCGCCATAGCAGCGTTCATATTTATTAGCTACACTGTAGCGCTCAACGGAGGAAAGAAATTTCCCAAAATGGCCCGGCCAATTTTTAGGAGGACCTCAATTTTTGCGATAATTCTAGTAGTTATTGTTGTTCTTGATGGGACTAAAGAGCAGCAGTTTGTGCACTCCAACGGTTTTCAGCGAGGAGGGTATGTCTGTTCATTGCTCACACTAGTCGATGTAATAACCAAGGTTTTGTAGTTATTCGTGAATTATCTGCGCAATCGATCGGTACTCTGTGAGGTCATGGGTTCGAATCTCTTCGCGGTCTCAAGGTAATGACTTACACGGGACGATTCGCAACGATAACTTTTAGCGCAAATACATCATTACAACATTTTTGCGACATTATTTCGAATGGCCTAGACATTGTTCCAATTTTCCAACGCTGTGTTGAGCTAAAAATCGTCGTTGCTAATCGTCTCGTATAACATGACCTTAATAGACTTTTCTATTTTCATTGCTCTAGTTACTTAAGGCCACGCGGAGAAAGCGTGGGAAACGCGTGAGGATATGGGCAAAACGGAACAAAACATTTTGAGCGAGAGGGGAAGGGGGATGCATTTTCCCTTGAGCGTCTCGTGCGCCTCTCCCGCCTGCTACGCAGACCAACGGCATGGCGATGACTACATCGGAAGCCATCGGAAAGCTCAGCCGTTAGCGGGTGTACAATGGAATTCATGGACACTAATTCACATAATTAAGACTATGATTATAGCGGAGCTCTGGCGCGCGAAGCGCGCCTGCGGAGCACACGTGACCGAACACCGCCCGCAGCCCGCCCGTCCGTCCGCACTACAGGAAAACCAATGTTCAATCTCACACTTTCTAGCTAGTTTGGTAGCACAGGAAGACTGATATTGCACACATATTGTACATCAATGTTGTGATCAATTGACAGCTGTCAAAACAGGGTATCTGCTGACCAGTATCACCTGACCGTATCGCGGGCTCAGGAGTCGACCCATCGAGGTCGAGTATCTTTTGGAAATTATCCGCTGACAAGTTACAAGTTTTCAAATGATCGCAGGCTCGAGTTTTCAGTTTTCAGTTTGAAATATTTTGTGTTTTATATGTGTCGCACAATTAAAATTTTGATTTCAAAATGACCTCGGAAGCTAAAATTCAGCCAGTTTTTACAGTCAGGGAAGATATGCCAGTTACTTTTGACTTTTCTCACCAAGGTCACGCGTTGGTCACGCTTTACGTCCAATTTTTATGCTCTGATTGGTCAGAATTTGACAGGTGAGTTCATGTCTCTGTACAGTGTGTGGTCCTTGGTCCGCGTGTAAAAGTCATTAACTTGAATATCTTACCCGAATCTTCATGTAACGAGCTGAAATACTCCCTGAAGATAGCTTTTATGTTTCTGTCGATAATCCTGAAGTTTCAAGTTCCAGACATAAATATTTTGCTTGGAATTCGCAAAAAGGCGACCGTTTTCGATGGTCCTTGGTCCGCGTTTCAGGTAAACAGCACGATAAAAACGTAAAAATGTTATAGTTTGCACACGAACACGTGATTTTCACAGTATTTCTTGTATTTTTTTCTTTTCTTGATGCAATTAAGCTAAAGTTTTTTTCGGAAGATGTGAGTAATCTGCTTTTCTTTCAAAGACTTCAGACAACAGTCTCCTCGAGTCTCCCACACGCGTCGACGAGCGGTTTTCAGCGCGGTCGAAAATAATTAGCAAAAACTCTGTATTTACTCGAGGTATTAAAAAAGAGAACTTGTAGACATGTATAGGGACGACTTTCAAAACATTCTCCGAAAACAAAGGCCGTCGCTTTTTACTTTAGAAAGTTTTACTCAACCAAGGTCATAGGACGCGGACCAAGGACCGCCAAGCGAAATTTGGTGATATTTTTCAAGAGTCGCTAAAACAAAAAATTCAGCGTCTACAGCAATATGCTTCCAGCAGCATATTAGTTGATCTGAAAACCTGTTCTGCAAAAAGGCAAGTCTTCCCGTTGCGTTTTAGTTATTCGCAGGCTAAGTGAACATGACCACGTAACTTACGGTGCCGCAAAAATCCAAACTTCAAGAAAGACAAATTAACCTACCTGTCCACAAACTTTAATTTCGCGTCTTCACCCGCAGCAAGAAGGCTGAAACTTCGTCATATGAAAGAATGCTAATCAGTAAATCACGATATCTTTCATTATTCAACGTATTTTTTTTCTTGACGAAATATTTTATCATTTTCGGAAAAGACGCGGACCAAGGGCGTCGGGGACTTGAGCGGACCAAGGACCACATACTGTATAAGTTTCACCGAATTATTTAACAGTTAATGAATGAGGCTGAGTATCTTATGAAGAATTATGGCGATCGAGGAGGGTGTTATCCGTCGAAGCCGTAGGCCAAGGCGGATAACACCCTCCGAGATCTCCATAATTCTTCATATGATACGAAAACCAAATTCTATAACTGTTTTATTATTCATTCAAAATAATTCCTAGTTTAAAAACATAGCTAAAACATGCTTACCTCCATCGATCCATCGATGTTCAGTTCATCTTCGATGGTGTACGTTTAGGTTTGTCCAGCTCCGCAAATATTCTCCAAATAGCAGATGTCGCCCTTCGAGTTGTCTTCTTGCTGTTCTTGTTATGTTTTAAGCTATTTTTTCGCCAGGTTCTTACTCTTGAAACAAGTGAAATTTCCGCCATTTTTTCAAGTTCACAACCAAAACAACTCAACCTCGTCCCCAGGTCTTCTCGGTTAACGGTGCCTTAACCTGGGAAAACGCTGCATTTTTGACGTCATTTCCTAGTTAAAGTCAAAATTCCTCCAAATTTGGTCATCAGTAACTGGTTATGGTGAATTAAACGTGCTTTTAGCCAATCAGAATCGGGGAAATATTTTGAATGAATAATGATATCCCTTTATTGATTGTTAGTAGTCTCTTTTGCAATTTTAATCGCTGTGCCGTTTGTTTTCAGTCGCTCACGAACATCGCTTGCGGGAGTAGTCAAAATGCCGCCTGTATCAAACGCTGTTGAAGATTACACATAGTTATAAAACCGTTAAAAAAAGAAATAAACATAATAAATTTTTTATCATGTTAAAGCGTATACCTCTATTAATCTTGATTTAAATAGTCGACTTTGGCGCTTGTCAAAAGTGAGAACCGGCAAGCCGTATAGGTGATTTTAGAAATTTTTTTAACATTTTCGGTAAAAGCCCACGCGTGCTTCGATCGACCTGAATGTTGAATGAGTACAATTTGTATTGGAAAAATTGTGATCTGTCCGAGGTCTGTATGATAAAAACAGCGCCTCATGGTACTGTTTCACCTCAGATGTGATGTATAAAAAGTATAAACGGTTGGTTTGCGCGTCTCCAGACTTGTTAGCAAGATTTTGTAAAATAACTTGTAAACTTGTCGAACGCAAAAAATTGGGCCTGATTTGTTTTCCGAGAATTTGTTTTCCAGGCCAATCTCTTAAGTGATCAAGAGCCATTATGGCTCCTAAATGTTATCGAAGATGATTGCTATTTTTTGGGTGTACATATAAGGCTATCAACTCGATGTAAGATTAAGTTCACTCTTAGCTTGGACTGTTGGCAAATTATTTTTCTCTAAAATCACTTAGTCTTTCCCTCAAAAGTCACATGAATGTGCTCTAAAGTTAACTGATTTGTAAAATACAATTGCAAGTTTATTGTTTGATTTAAATCATAAATTCGAATTAACAGGAGCTTCGCTTTTAGCCCTGGCTAAATCTATATATTAAGACGTTAGGGCTTCCAAATGACCAGTTACCCACCCACCTTCGCAGTACGTTAGAGGCAAGTTGGAAAAGTCATAGATAATTAATGTATCTTTTGTTGTTCTCAACAGAGAGAATGTTTGCGAAGACGTGTAACAGGTGACGTATAGAACTACAACGTACTTTGAAGAAGATTATGTGATAAAATACACAGTTTGCTGCAAGCTTTTTTGTGCATGGAGATGCGATAGATATAGGTAAGAAGACAAGAGGGCTATTTCCGAATGTTCTTGAAAGGATCATGATTAAGGGGTTGTTTACATGGCGGGAGGAAGATCGAAAACGAGCTTTACGTCACCAAAATAATGTAACAATGAGTAGTCATCGTTATCATCTATCATACTTATCATAATCATAATCATTATATAGTAAAAAATAATACACTGTTTTTCACTTTCAGTCCGAAATTCTAGCCAGGAGAAGGAGCTATTTGTCTGATCGCATGCGCAAAATCCATGAGACCGCCTTACACTAAAGGCTTAAATTAAGAGGGTGGTGATGGAGAAGCTGGAGCCCCCTTTTTCTTTCTTTCATTTGCAAAACCAACCAACAACTATTAAGTAGAAGGAAGTGCTGAATTTATCGAATCTATGATATTGCAGCTATTCATTAAGACTGATTATTTTCGCTTTTAGGAAAAAGACAAGACAAAAAAGTAAGACAGTTATCAGAACGAGGAACGATATCTACCTAGTCTGTTGCGCTGAATGGCGTAGGAAAAGTGCGGGTTCCTCAGACTGTACAGAAGGTTTGATCTAAGTGTTTCTGTTGTGATTTTAACTGAGCCCTTCTCTTTTCTAAGCTAAACAATGAGCTCAGTGTACCGACTGGCTTTTAACATAGGGGCAGATCGGTATGATTTTTTTGTTAAAGGGTTTAAACTTGTTCGCACAGTTTAAACCATCCTTCCATGCCGTTACACATCAGTGTCACTATCTACTACCACACGAGTGACATGCACTGAATTGTGTTGAATTTTGTGCAGATTTCCTCAATTTAAATAGCCTGCAAAGCAGGCGTATTTTGGGGCGATATCCATGAATTGTTTTCAGGATAACGTTGTCCCGCCATCTTGGACGTTAATACTACCAGAGAGTTGGGACGAGTCAAAAAGTGTTTTTAAGGGAGAGGTAGATGGGTTTAAAATAGGGGAGGGGAGGGGAGGTTTTCTCCTCTCTCCTCCCCGCCCCTCCCCCCTTCCACCGCCCCTCCCCCTTAGTCTTTTTGGTTGCTTTTCAAGATGGCGGCCACGATCAAAGTACCTCCGAGTTTTCGTTAAAAAACGTAAAAAACGCCTGCTCTGCAGGCTACAATTTAAATAAGTGCCATGGTTGAAAGGCAAGGAACTTCCCACAACCCCCTACCCAGCAGTGATGACAATTAGGTCTATTAGGAGGCACTGATCGTGTGTGGTTTTGAATTATAGCAATCTGTTACAATGGATGCAACAATGGAGGCCGATGCGTAAGTCCAAACACGTGTAGTTGTACAATTGGATGGACCGGACCTACTTGCAGTGATGGTGAGTCGGTAATCCTATATGTAGATAAAGTTTAACAGCGTTACAGACTGGACATATTATGATACTGAAACAGTTTATTAAGTAAAAGACAATTCTTAGTAATTGAAACAGACTGGATACGAAAATATGCTAGAGTCTATGGAGTGCCGAAACATTTTCACGTAAAGCACAATTCACGCATTCCAGCCAGAGTACCAAGATGTATATTACAGTGTATGTTCGAGTGTGGAATGAATTGAAGAGCTTGGCTGTATGCGTTTAAAATTAAGTTTTCACCACCACCACCGACGTTAAATCAAGTTTATCCGGTCTCTGTCAAACACCTTCGAGGTTACAAGCAATGGCTTACACACAACCGTGTGTTAAACTACTTTTTTTCTTCCTCTATAGATGTTAACGAATGTGCAACCAATAATGGAGGCTGTCAACAGATTTGTGTCAACAGACGAGGAACCCCAAACACCTGTACTTGCAAAAGAGGTTTCATAAAACATCGTTATGACAGCACCAAATGCATTGGTAAGAGATGTGCGACAAATCTGAAACTTTTTAATAGTGCCATTTGAATCAAGAATACAAAGTAATGATTAAAATATTTTTTTCGCAGATTTTGACGAATGTCAAATGAGCGACTCAGCTTTGTGCACTTGTGCTGATGGTTCGTATGGAAAATGTGGAGCTCAGTGCATTAACACACATGGCAGTTTTTCTTGTTCTTGTGCTAATGGATATAGACTATTTGGCAAAACCAAGTGTGTAGGTATGTTAGTTGCTCAATTTAAAACACTACTGGCTGCCTCCTACACAGGTTTTCCCATAGTGTGAGCACGGTCAAGCGAGAAGCGCGAGAGGGGGGTGATGGGAAGGAAAGGGACGAGACAGCACTACTCAGACATATATCAAGCAACAACAAATATTTTTTCTAGCCACGATTTGTCATTTGAACAGAGTCAAGGCTCTTGTTTTGCCTGCCTGTATATATCCGTAACAAAACATGGTAACATGGGCTAAAATAGAGCACACCCTGGACATCTCCTAAGCTTAAAACAAACCTTAATTTCATGTATTTCATGTGCAGATAACCTAAAAATGTTAATTATGCTGAATGAAAGAACACTTTATTGCAAGAACGTGAAAAAATAAAATGTGCGTCTCAAACAAAATGTCTTAGGTACACCAGTCCTGTTGATCACGAAATTCAAAGGCGATGTGTGACGTCAAGAAACATAAATTCAGAAAATGAAAAACGGGATTTAATGCATGCTTATTCCTTTCTTAGGGCAGTCTGTGTTGTTGCATCGCACTGCAAAGCATCTTTCTGGCATGTTTTTCTCTAACAACTGTTCCAGTTTGTAAATTAGAAGTAATTATTTTAAGCTCCACACTATTTTACTTGAATTCAAAGTCGTGTGTTTCTTAATTTGTCTAATTTATGTCATAGTTCCCTAAAAATCTACTTCACAGCCTCTTTGTTTCCGAAAATCTTTCGAGGGAAGACTAGAAACGAATGGTGTGCTAAAATGGCGGCAAATTTGAACGTTTTAAAAAATTGTAATTCAAATCGAATTTTTTTTTTTTCGAAGAGGTTCCCGAAGCCATGTGTACTTTCAGTTAAAAATATGAGTTTCTAGGTTACAGGCACTTTAAATAGAAAAATATTAGGCACTATTTCTGAACTACAAACATCCTTTCAATTTCAAATCATGTCGGTTTCGGTCAATATTTTCATGTCAGTAATCTCCTAATTTTGTTTGTCGTTTTGTCGGTAGTCAGTTAGGTTTGTCGTCCTTTGCCGCTATTTGGTTAACCTCATTCAGACCCTCTAAGAAAACCAGAACATAAGTTTGCGTCGCATGATGTATGGTGGTCACCAAGAACCCATTGCGATAACAGAGAACGTAAGAAGCAAAAGGATGAATACACTGTGAAGCAGAAAGAGCGCTACAAACGTTACTTTTTATTATTACATGTCTACTTTTAGACGTTGACGAGTGTTTATCAGGAGCTTGTGGACAGCATAGGTGTGTCAACAGGCCCGGCTCTTTTTACTGCATTTGCCGACGCGGATTTCACAAAGTTAAGGGAAAGTGTCAAGGTATTGATAATAATAGAAACCGTTTTTCTCACATGACCAGAGAATATGTTTTGCTCTAGCGGGTTCTAACTTTAAACACTATGTACTAAAACGTAGTAAACCTTCGAGAGGGACGTTCTCTCCACAAATGCTTCCCTTCCTGTCCAAGACACAACGTCGTTGCCGGGGTTGTAACATGAAACAGCTACTAAAGGTGATAACTTTTGCCTACACTTTTTCAGGGTTGATGTCTACCGTAAGATATAGGATAGCTCGTGATGGGTTTGATGAAATGAAGTAAAATGATGAACCTTAAATCTGACATACCTCAATGCTATTGAACAATATCCAGAATATCTATTGTTGTCGCTCATCAGCTTTAGATTCCTACCGACCTTGTTTAGTTTGACGTTTGACCCTAGCCTATGGGGCTGCTGGCGACCTTTTCTAGTGGAGTAAAGGCAAAGTTGGTCCTTATATTGACTCTTAATAATGAGTATTATTATCTTATTGTTTGCCAGACATTGACGAATGCGCCAACAATAACGGCTTTTGTGAACCCGGTCGGTCTGTTTGCGAAAACAGAGCTGGTGGGCATCGCTGTATTTGCAAGCAAGGATTTGTTTTGGACGCTAACGGGCGAACTTGTTCAGGTAATAATCATCAGGTACTTAGCTATGGAGATT